TAGTGTTTTGTAATCACATTCTGATTCTAGCAATTTCCGGATGTCGCACTTCGTTGTAGAAATGGATTTACATCCACAGGCTAGCAGGTCATGAAAGCTTGGAAGAAATCATACATTTTTTAGAATCCAAATGCAAGGTGAAACTCGGTCAAAATGCGTGCAAGCTTTTTCATTGTTTACAGATAGGAAAATACTCCAACTACTTGTGCCGTAACACAAAATTTCAACAAAAATAAATTGTTGCGGTCGGTAAAGTAGCAATCAAGGTGCTGTTATACTAAGTGTTTAACTTCGATCTTACGGAGAAGTATCCAACTTAACGCTACCCTATTTCGAATCGATATAACGCCTCGCTCTAATCTGATTATCACAGTATACTGAGAATACCGTACTTGGCGCATATCTGTCTAGATATGAGATAAAGTGCTGTATATCGCCCTTCATTGTATTTTAGCTGCACTTCATAGCGGTTGAATAGACGATTTTCTTCATCTAAGCTGAAATCACGTGATTTCATTCCAATAACAACTACTACGAACGCTATATCAATAAAGTCGTTAATAGTATAAAGTAACAAAGCATTGAAAAAATATAAAATAACTACGGCCGCTTTCAGAAAACCAACTTGTCGTCAGTAATGATTAGATCTCCAGGTAGAAGATCAGTCTTTCCTCGCATGAACATATCCATTAAAGCAGCTTCTTCTCTCTGTTGTTGAAAATGAACTCATCATGTTTACACGAAATCGTTGTTATTGGAGCATCACGATACCTCCAAGCGTAATTTCCCGTCAGCTCCTGCTAAGTCTGGTCTTTCTTCTTCAAGGATTCTTCTACTATACCAGGGAGGTTGTCGAGGAGGTTTTATAAGGGTACCAGGCATTGTCTGCATAATACGTCTTCAAGTCAACTTGAAAAAACATCTAATTGCGACTGTGAAAAACCTGTTTTTTCGCAGCATAGACAGGTAGAACCTTTGACTTCGTCTTCTCAGATACTTCGGAGCCACTGTCGGTGGATGACAAGTCTGACTGGAATGCATGGGCTCAAGAAAATCATTGTTGTTATCACTGTACCGAAGCTGACTCCATAGAAAAACGCTACTTTTCTGTTATCGCGGCGCGCTTTTTTTGCTAGACAGAGGTTTTTTGAGAGAATATCAATAATAATTCGAAAGCTCAATCTTCCGCGATTGCAACATAGCACTTGGTTCATAGAACCGCGTCATTACTACGCTGTGGGAGGAGAAATAATATTGAGTTTGACCCTGGGAGCGCATTATGGCGAGTATTTTTGCTACTTATATAGAATATTCTCCGTTTCTCAGGAATTGCGAAGTTTTCTGCATTAGATTTGTTGAAGAAAATTGTTCTACCGTTATATGAGCTTAGGCTTTATTTTAATTTCATATTGTCGAGTGAACCAGCTACAAGCTTAACCCTAAGCAACCTAAGCCTATGCACGAAAAGCACATGAATGTGCTGAGATAATCATAGAGTTGAGATGTACTAGCATCTGAGTTTTTTCTTTCAAAACAAGGAAATAATTACAATTTAAACAGCAAAGATCATGCGCCACTATTCGTGCTGCGCGACCTACCAAACCGTCCTGAAAAGTTGTAGCTCCGAGTGTGAAATTTTTTAATGCGCAACAGCGCTTTATAAAGACATTATCAAATTTAGTTTCAGATTCACTTAGAGCTGTGCTATCGAGTCCTACTTTTGAATCTGATCAAATGTATCTACAAGCGGTAATTGTACAAACGAAGTTCTCCGCAGTCCATGTGGAAACTGAATTTTATTTTGCTATTAAAGCTCAAAAAATGCTTTTCGGAAAACCTACACTACTAGAATCGCCATGATTAAACTACCGACTTTGTGTAAGAGCGGCGAGAAGGTTATAACCTTAAAAGATTGAAAAATGTGTTGCAATAACAGGAAATTAGCGCAAAATTTTACTCAAATGATTAGTCATTCATAATAGATGTCAGATAAATCTGATAGAAACTGCACAGTCTCAATATAGCGTCTTTCGAAGTTCCTTCCAAAAAAAGAGAGCGTGTAAATGCACACACACATACACACATTCTTATGCACACGTACACACATACACACATGCACACATACACATACATACACATATACACACATACACGCACACGCATGCACACATGCACACATACACACATATACACACATGAACATACAGACTTACACATACACACTTACACATGCACACATACACACATGCACACACATACATACACATACACACATACACATACAAATACTCACACTTGCACATAAACACATACACACACACTGCATTATCTGCATTTGGTGTATAAATACCACTGATCATTACAATTATTTTATAGAAACTCCTTTCAGTAAAGAGTTTCGTGGTTTTAGTTATCGTGCTGAAGAATAAGTAGGATTCAAAGATATAGGTCAAACTATGTTTTGAATTTTCTCTCAGCAGAACTTTGAGGGTTTTAAAAGACTTACTAATTAAATTTTTTCTCTTTATAATAGGTCTCAAAAATTTCTTACATCATCTTTTTCAGCCAAGCTTTTTTTGTGCTTCTTCTGAAATATAAAGGCTATAATGCAGCTAAAATTCTCTTCAGAGGAAAAGTTGCGAAGAGAATATATTTCTAGACAACTTTCATTGCTATGGAACGAACTGTGTTCATTATAATAGAATCTGTCTAATTAATTCAATAGAAAACAACAAAATTATTGGTGAGGTGTTTGAACGAAAGCGTATTTTTTGTAAAAACACACTGATCATCAACTTTACGCCGTAACCGTCCTGTTGCTTAGTTCAAAGTTTACTAGGAACGAGTGTGACGCTGTTATATTGACATACAGTGTGAAACCATTTCACTGGTAAAAGTTTTGGAAAGACTGTAACGCGTTCTCCAAACTCGTTAATTTGAGCAGTTAGTGGAGTGCTGTGCAAAAAGATTCGCGTCAGCCGGGATTCGAACCCAGATCTCTCTTTCCGGGGGCGTATGCCAACCGTCGCGCCAGCGACGCTCGTTTTCAACAGCACTCTTTTTACGCTACAAGGCGTTACCTGTCATCAGCCATCCGTCGACGGTCTGGAGGGGCAGCCACTATCGGCACCAAACCCACTTGTGCTGACAGGTACTGGGTATCGATAATCAATCAGAGTTCTTTTTAACTGACCACCAGCTGCGGTGGTATGATCTTGTAATATACCCGATAATGTGGAGTGCTGTGCAAAAACATTTGCGTTAGCCGGGATTCGAACCCAGATCTCACTCTTAACAAGTGGGTTTAATGCCGATAGCGGTTGCCCCGCCAAACCGTCGAACCCGGCTGTTGACAGGTAACGCCTTGTAGCGTAAAAATAGTGCTGTGCAAAACGAGCGTCGGTGGTGCAACGGTTAACATACGCTCCCGGAAAGAGTGAGATCTGGGTTCGAATCCAGGCTGACGCAAATGTTCTTGCACAGCACTCCTTATTAATGGGTATGTACAAGATTAAACCACCGCATGTGGGGTCAGATAAAAAGAATTCTGGTAGACTATTATATAACACATGAAGTGATGATGTATTATTGAGATCAGATGGTTTGTTATTTTACAGTAGTATAGTACAAACTCACCACCATGCCGTAACTACTAATAAGTCGTTTATTGAAATGAGACCCTCTCTTGCAACAAACACTTATATACCACTTGAGAACTATCAAAATAAAATTATCAAAATAAGTATGGAATCATTTCCACATTTTCGTATTGTCACGTAATAAACTCACAACTATCATTATTCGGATATATGCCATTTTGTGAAGCCTTCTCAAATATCAATAATATCAGATTGGCGTAAAAGTAATTGCGGTTTCAGTAAATCTAAGTTAATCGGAATTACTATTGCAGTTTGCTTCACCATCAGAGCTACCATAGAATGGTCGACGTTGAGTTCCTGTTCAAAACCTCGTGGCCTTGAGAGGATCAGCCTCGATGATTGCTTTTAATTGGTCGTTGTCATGTTGCCATGGCTTGTCACTACGTTTCTCATATTCAAAACTCTCGTCTCCTTTACGATGATTCTTGAAACACCACTACAACATGTTCTTGAGCAGTTCCTGGGTCAAATAGGTTGTCAATGTTTCAATCTGTCCCTGTCGCTTTGTGATCCATTTTGAACACGAAGAAGAAAATCCTTGGATTCGCATTTGTCTAACGTCGTCCTTTCTATAGTCTTAAAAGAAAAATATAAAATCAACAGGAAGTCTCATAAGGACAGAAATACTCATTAAAAAATGTATTACATAACCACATCTATCTATGAATATTTCCCAATATCAAACGGTAAATTTCGACTATGCATAAATCGAAATTTCGGCGGCACTGCCCTGAGGTATGAGAAATTCAACTTTTCATCATCACTAATCGAAGTAGTAACGACCAGCGCATGTTGCGATTAGAGGTCTCCTATAATGCCTGCATGGTCAGTGTTTTCATCGCTACGCCCGTTCACAGCGAGCTTCACATCCCTCAGGTAGATTATATGGAAGAACTGTTTTTATATACCTAAGAGAATTGAGTGGTGAGCAAAAACACGGCCTCAGGCGGCAATCGAACCCACGTTTCATCCTATCCGGTGACGCGTGCTCTACCACTACACCACTGAGGCACATTTGCCCGACCACTCATTCTTCAACATCTCAATGTTAGCTATTAGCCACCAACCTTTGACAGGTTTGGTCGGGTATGCGATTTCGCTTCATAAACGCAGTTGAGCTGACAGCTATTCTAATTACTAATACTTGGAATAAATAGTATTTCAATGCATTTCGCATTGTTATGATGTTTTTTACACACCTAAGAGAATTGAGAAAAAAATTTTGAAAGAACTGTCTGAAAAAATTGATTTCGAAATTCCCAGTGTTTTTTTTTTTTTGCAATTTTCGCAGTCTCATGATGCTTTACACATACATAAGAAAGTTGAGTGGAGCAAAAATACAACTTCAGACGGGATTCGAACCCGCGCCTTATCCTTTCCGGGGACTCGTGCTACTACTACACCGCCGAGGTGCAGTAGCAGCCATTCATTCTTCAATATCTCTATGATAACTGTTAGCCACTAACCTGGTTGAAGTACCAACCTGTTCAGTGCAATGGTAGCTCGCGTTCCTGGTAAGGACGAAACGCGGGTTCGTGTCCCGCCTGAGGTCTTATTCTTGCTCACCACTCAATTCTCTTACATAGTGACCACTAAACGGCAAACCCTTGAATGTCATCATTATGGTCAAACATGCATTCAGTCACTACTACGATGCTATGACTGGGTTCCAATGCATGATGTTTCCTTACATAATTTTTTAGGACAGTTGCTTCCACCTTAATAATCCTATAGATGACGAAGGTAGTATCATTATTAACATTAATTGGACATCGATATCAGCGTGCTGTTCTCGGCTATTTTACCGTGGCAGAAGAATGAACTCGATGTTAGACTATCCACACCTGATAGATAAGTCGATATCAATTGAGTTTAGTGAGATGATATGGATTAGTTTCTTGAAAGGTTGAAGAGATTTCATTGTTGTTACAAATACTTGATTAGCTGTTTTATGCAAGACACAATTGAATACTTATCACGGATACGTTAAAGATCGAGTGTAGCGCAGTGATTAAGGGTGCTTGCGATATGTGTGTGATCGCGGTTTCGATCTTCCGTTTCGGGCCTATCGAATCTTCCATTCTTGCAAAATCGGCTAGGTGATATTGAATTTGTCTAGAAGGCAAAAACACTGAGTTGACACGTCGACAGGTCACACAATGCATTCAGTCACTTCTAGAGACTTACGAATAGAGTCGAATGCACTACACATCTCTTAGGAATTGACTAATGGGAAAAGTTTCATTTTTCATCTTTTATTGTTCCTTCATATAATCTGAATCTACATGTTGAAGTTAGGATAAATGGAAATACATGGAATTGAGGACACAAAAAAAAAGGAACAGGAACAGCAATTTCTAATGCAAGTCAATAAAAGCGTATTTGTTGTAACGTGAGACTTTCGCCACTTTACCATTCGAATCTGATCTTGCCACGGTCAAAAACGTCTGATAGGCTTCATGGAACTGCAAGGCGATGAAATATATATCAAGAAAATAAAAAAAAGCTCTATGACTTTGTCAACTAACGAATTGAGTAGTTGTCATAAAAGAGTCCGATACAAATATATACTTCCAAACGATACTTTTCTTCTATTCATTTACGTAATAAACAGACAAACCTTAAGAAACGCGAGGCAAAAGTCTGGTTGATTCCAAAGCACATCATAATCGGCCTCCAGCGTATCTTTCATTTGTTTTAATGCCAAGTCATAAAATAGTAGGCGTTCTAGAATTTTTTTCAGTAGCGTAACATTTCTTTATTTGATTGATTATTTTTGTCATTTAGTGCAACATTTGCCCTGTTTTTTTATAGATTTCCACTTTTACGGACCTTCAGAGCCATCTTTGCTTCTCCCACTTATTGTGCCTTTATGTGTCTTTTTCAAATCTGTTTTTCGTATTTTTGCTTAGAATTATCAACTTACTGTAATATTCATGTAAATATGGCGAAATAAGCTTATTGAATAGTACAATGACAAGAACTGCTATGATCGACGTTGTGATTATAGTCGATAAATTCATTTTGATGTATGATAGCAGCATAAGACTCCTAAACGAAGTAGACTTCGAAATATGAGTAAGCTATTTGCCTGAGCTTGTACTCGATCCGTTTTTTCATTTCCCTCATCTTATTTTTTCTCCATCTCTATAAGGATCTATTCCCGAGTGTTAAACTCAAGCGTAGGTCACCACGGAGGCCATTATTTAGCAAAGTTATATAACGTGAGAATCCAAATATGCGCCCCACCCCCGCTAAAAGTTTGGTTTTCAGCATGTCCGTCAATCTCATCCTTAAGCCCAGCTAAGGTGAAAGAATTCCAAGATAGGTGATAAGTGCTGTTGCAGTTCAAGAAAGCATTATCATGGCCTTTGAGACATCAATGAATGAAAATTTTTCAAAAACAATTTACAAATCAATCAAACTGTGTGCTGGAGTCTGCAAGAATCTACGCAATTTTTGAAGACTAATTATTCAAATATTTGAGTACTCGAATATTCAAGAGGCTCCAGTTGAAGATGGAGGCATGTAAGATTTTGTCATTGCTGGTAATGAAGAGCACAGACAATTCATATTGATGCCCGAAAATAGGCAAAAGAACCTGTCAAAAAAGCAAAGTGTCATTCAGATGCAAATTCGCCACAGACTATACTGTTCATAAACGCGAGCTACCAATTCTCTAATCTCTCCTTTTTGATGCCGACATCTTTTCATTAGCAAATATCTTAACAAAAATTTTCGATTGCCAGTTATTTCTGCTCAAATTTAATCGATTATTTTTTGCACAAAAATGAGTGGAAACTAAAAATACCATTTGTTCTTGAAGAGTAAACGAATGATATCTGAAATCGCCATGGCACCACCAACAATGTTTTAAGAAATGAAACCAACTGTTGGTGATACCATATCTCATCATTGATAGAAATATCAGCTTTAAAAATTTAGTGATCACAAATTTACAAGGAATGATGATTTGAGATGGCATAACATGTTTGAGACGGGTCGTTTCGCTTTCCTTCAGATTTTTGGTAAACGTTTGATAGCTCAGATCTCCACAGTCTCAGCACTATTTGAATCTTGCTTCGTAGTGCGCTGTAGCAACAAAAACAAGAATATATTTTATCATTTGATTTATAATACCCAATATTTGTTAGCGTGACTGGCTTGAATGTCGAGACCGACTACCCGGGCCAGGCCGTTGACGGCTGGCGGCTAACAGATAGGTGCGCTGTAGCGTAAAAAGATCGATGTGCAAAGTGGGCGTCAGTAGTGTAGCGGATAGAGCACGCATTCCCGAAAAGAGTGAGGTGCGGGTTCTAGTCCCGCCTGGCGCGAAAGTTTTGCACATCACTCTACATTAGTGGGTACATTTTATGACATCATACCACCGCTGTAAGCGGTTCAATAAAAAGAATATCATCAAATTACAATTTAGCTTTGGAGCGCATTTTTTGCTCGACTAGGACTCGTGGATGCTTTCATAGAGTTTTAGTATCTCTTCGATAGCCTAAAAACAAAAAAAAACGTCCACTCAAAACTAGGTTTGATTTTTAAATAGGTCTTCAAAGAGAGAGAAAAGAAACTTATTGGATTGTTTCATAATTTCCTTCACACTGTTGCTTTATTCAGTTTTTCCATTCAAATCAGGTTATTACCAAGAAGTTGTGGTGTGTTCGAGAATGTTTTAGTTGCTCTAGCCACGAGATAAGATACTAGGATACCAGCAGGATACTAATGCTAGGCTACGATACTAGCAGCCAGATAGATTTGGCAGTTCGTCCAAACTCAAACCAGGCAAAACTCAACCAAACAATTAAACAAAAGTTGACTTACTACGTATTGGAGAAGCTGGGTTAGACCACGGCATTACATTCACCGTATATATAACTGTTATTGGTCCATCGGAGGATCATGTCCTCTACACGCTGAACTAGTATCTGCCGTAGGAAAAATTGATGGGCTACAACCAGCTCAAAAAAGACCTCACCAATTTGTTTGATCGATAGTCTCATTTTTGTGGGGGAAGGCATCTTGTCTTTGCCCGGCAGACGGTTGCTCACCATTGATCATTATGGCGATTGTACTGATGATTGACAAGTTTCTCCAAACAAATCACAACTGATTCAACAAAAATGTTGAAATGAGGAAGATGTTCTGGGACAACCAAATACGTCTCGCACTAAAAGATACTAATACTAAGAGGATATGAACGTGTACACAAAATCGCTGTATATCAAAATATCAAAAAGTTTAGCAATTCCTAGCAAAGGAGAAAACTTTGTTATGTACATAACGGAGATCTCTCTGTTTTGGAGGGGCATTTGGAATCGTTAAACGAAAGCGATTTTTGTTAATTTTTCAGAAAATTTTCTTCGGTTCTCGAAAAAATTTCTAAGTTTCTCGTATAGCGATTGTAGAAGAGACTTTGCTCTATTACTTAACAAGAACCAGCTATTTTCCATATTAACGCTATGAAGTCATGAAGAGCATACTATGACGTTGAAGTTACAAGCTAACTACTTCAAATGTGAAATCTAATCTTCTTTTCGCTCTTGCAGTGCTCTATGAAGACCTTTCCAAAGTTCAATCTCATAATCAACAAGAGTTATGTTAAAAAATGGCTACTGAACATTTGGTTGAAAAATTATTCATAGACTCTAGCTGAGCAAACAAAGCAAGCCAAATGTTGAAAACGTATATTTGCTGCTAGAGCGCAATGAAAAGGTTTTTCCGGAGATCACACACAGCTTTGGAATCGCGATTTCTCAAGCTGTCGAATGATCACTTAAAGTCTAACAGGAATGCTTTCCTAAACGAAGAAAGTTTTCAATATATGTGTATCCGTACTACTGCTACACCCGTTCCAAATGGGTTGAATCGTTCTAGATTGGAGCGCTTCTTTGTTATTGAATACAGGAAGGAAAAATAGAAGATAAAGAAGGAATAAACATTATGAAAATTATGAAAACGCAGAAACGAGGATGATAAGGGCAGTCTGGTACGTAGAATATTAACATTCTAAAAGTTTTTCGAGGTAACGATCTCGTGTTTTCCTTCAAATCAGAAGATAATTTCGTTGATACCAACAAATGTTATTGGAAAATTTATTTCAGTATATTGATCAGCGTATTGATTACTGCTGAGTCAGCTTTCTTAACAGAATTATCAAACCTTGAAGAAAGCCGTATCTCCCAATTTGGGAACTTTCAAAGACATTACAACAGTATAAAAAAGCAAATATTTATCGATATGGAACCCATTAAAAGCGAAAACATAAACATATGACCCGTAAAGGAATGAGACCATCCACGAGACCTGCAATGAGTTGGTTTTCAAGCAAAGATTATCTTTTATCACATTGGAATATCACTCTCATCAACATATAGACCATAGCTTCAAGAATGAACATAAAGGAATTGATGGAGTGCATTTTCCAAAAGAACGTTGAGTTATTAACTGGGTGAATCAATGTGTGGTCAAGGAATTAGAGTTAAGTCTACAACAGCAACGAATAAAGTTAGAAAAATGAGTGCATCTTCTCAGTGCAAGTTT